ATGGAGCTTCAAGAAAGTAGTCTTCCTTTTGAGTCTTTTTGGATGAGTGGCGATGTAGAGATGAGCTGTTGTTCTGGATGCGATGAAGGAAAGGGGCGACAGAGACGAAAGGAAGCAGATGCTGCAGAATGGTGTTGTTGGAGAATAGAGGAGCAACGGCAGCGTTTTGGTGGAGAGGGCAGCGTAAGTAGCTGTTGCGTAATGGCGTCGTCTTGTAGGTTCAACAAAAGCAGTGTTGTAGGCAAATGCATAGCTTTGAAGGAAATTTGGACTGGGCGATGCATGGAAGAAGTGGGGATGATTCAAGAGAAGTAATAGATCGATTGGATTAGTATAATACAAGTCAGTTAGATAGTTAAAACTCTTATGGTGTGTGTAGTATAATACAAGTGAGTTAGATAGTTAAAACTCTTATGGTGTGTGTAAATATGTAACTTTTGTTTTGATTTGCATGTTTAGCAGCAGGTATGCTTGCTTTTACATCAAGCTATCATATTGAATTGCAAAGTGATGTGGCAATGAAAATGCATTTTCATTTTCAATTGCATTTGCATTTTCAATTGCATAAATATAAGTTTTTCAATATGCGATTGTCACGTAAGTATTTTTGCTTTTATTAAAAAATAATAAACATACAAATCTTTTGTTTTAGAGCATCCACATTGGTATTGCTTTCTCAATTGCAAAATGACATGCCATAGGTGTTTGCAATTGCAAAACCAATTGTATTGATGTGGCTACCAATTGCATATTTGCAAGCTTGCAACAAATGCAATTCCATAAGCAAGTCAAAAAAGCCTGAAAAAATGGAGAATTTTTATTTCATATTATTTTCTTTTATCTTTTACTTAAGTTTCTATAATTTGAATATAATATTTAATTACATTTGCAATTGTAAGTTAATTGCATTGATGTAGGTGAATGAAATGAATGTGATGTGGATTGCAAATTTTTTGGTTTGACAATAAAAAACACAAATGCAATTTCTTTTGCAATTGCATTGATGGAGATGCTCTTATTAAGAAAATAAGTTAGGCCTACTTATGCAATTGCAAGTTAATTGCATTGATATATGTGAATGAAATGAATGTGATGTGAATTGAAAAAAAAAATGAGTTGGCAATCAAAAAACACAAATCAATTGGTTTTGCAATTGAATTGATGTAGATGCTCTTAGTGTATGTAGCTTGGTAGGGTTAATCCCCTGCCTTTTTTTTTTACAAAAGATATTCATATATTGAATCAAAAGAAGATAGTTACATCCTGGATCGAAGCCAGGCCTGAAAGTCAAACAATCAACAATGAGCCGGGTACAAAGTAAAGGCCTTTCTAGCCATCGAATGGGCTACCCTATTGCTATCCCGACCTATGAATCGAATACTAAAACCCACATGATTCCTCAAACACTGCACAATTTCTTCCAGAACCACCCCAATCCTACTATCCCTGGTCTCAGCTTGATTGACTTTGTCAATGATAATCTTGGCGTCACCTTCAAATAAAATACTCCGGAGACCAAGGTGTTCACACCAAAAGAGAGCTTCTCGGAGAGCTAGAGCTTCTGCTACCAAAGGATCATCAATCGAAGGGAATTGGCACCCATGAGCCAAAACTAACTCGCGACGCGTATCACACAAAACCATTCCAGCACTCGAATGAGACCCCGCTCGCGTAGCCCCATCCCACAAACAAACCATCGAGGGAATCAACGCCTGCGGATTTGTTATGGGAGCAACTGGTGGCCTATCCTGCGGCATCCTGGTGCCCAGCACATTCTCCCACTCCTCACACTGCTGGTGATACTGGCACATCAAGGCCGAGAATCCAAACTGCTTGCCTTCAAAGACAACCCAATTCCGAGTCTTCCAAATCCGCCAGAGAACGGCCACCACCGACATAACTACCGAGGGTTGCTGAATTATGTTAACCAGCCTCTTGAGGAAGAGAGGAAAAGTATGGCGTGGCTAGCCTTGCCCTAGATGCTCCAGCCCCGCGTAGTCCCACAGGGCCCGGGCCACCGGACAGTCAAGGAACAAATGCTCCATTGTTTCCGATACCTCCCAACAGACCGGACAACGAGGGAGAACAGGGACTCGTTTCTCAATAAGTGCTTCCGTAGTCGGGAGGATGAGTTGGAAGATCTGCCAGACAAACACCTTCAACTTGGGAGGGATGTTAGCCTCCCAAAGTCGAATCCAGCTAGCTTTATCCATCCAGCTGGCCCCAGACCTCCAAAGGCCATTTCTTTTATCCAGATCAACAGCGAGATGATAGGCTGATTTAATAGTAAATGTGTCGTCCGCCGTACCATGCCAAATAAGTTTGTCCTCCACAGAGCGTCTTGGCAAAGGAATAGCCTTGATGTGGCGGCAGGTTGGAGGATCAAACCATTGACCCAGCTTGGCATCAGACCAACCTCCCCCAATCGGATCCATCACCTCCTCCACTCGAGGGTCACCCCCCACCGGAAGGTCAGGGTGAATTTGTGGAATCCAATTCAACCCGAGTAGTGACACTGTTTTCCCGTTCCCAATCTGCCACCGAAGCCCTTTCTCAAGTAATTCTCTCCCAAACAGCACACTTTTCCAGCCCCATGAAGGCTTGGATCGCGCAGTGGCTTGAAGAAAGCTCCCAGTCGGAAAGTATTTAACCTTATAGACCTGCGCCAGTAGGGAGGTGGGGTCATCGAGGATGCGTCATCCGATTTTAGCCCCGTAAGGCCTGGTTAAATTGTTCAAAGCGGCGGAAACCCATCCCTCCTTCATGTTTACTACGACACATATTCCGCCAGGAGACCCAGCGGATTCGTGACTGATCATCTGTCCCACCCCACCAAAATATGGCGATATGTTTATCAAGCAATCTACAAAGGGACAAAGGCATCTTGAAGCAAGACATTACATGGAGAGGCAAAGCTAAAGCAATGGATTTAATAAGAGTTTCCTTAGCCGCCCAAGATAATGTACGTCGCTTCCACCCTTGTAATTTTTCAAGCAATTTCTCCTCTAGGTACAGAAAGGTCGCCATTTTTGAGCGGGCAATTAGAGTCGGTAGCCCCAGCTATTTATCATGGACCCCCACTGCTCCCACCCCCATAACTGCCGCCAAAAACACCTGATCCTCCTGGTCTATATTCTTGCTAAAACAAACAGCCGATTTATCAGATTTTCACATTCCTGGAGGTTACCCCGCAGGAATAGATATGAATCATCGGCAAAGAATAGATGAGAGATACGAGCAGCACGGGGGGCAACCTTCACACCTTCCAGTTTCCCTTCCATTATAGCTTTGCGAAGAAGAGCCGCGAAGCCTTCTGTACAAAGAACAAACAGAAGCGGTGATAGAGGGTCCCCCTGGCGGAGACCTCGGGAGGGCGAGAAGTACCCCGAGGGAGTGCCATTCATGAGAACTGAAAAAGACGTAGATCGAAGGCATTCCTGGATCCATCCTCTCCAGATCGAGTTGAAGCCACGAGCTTAATAAAGTTTTTTTTATTGCCCATAAAAAAATTGTTTCTTCTTTTGCCTTCTTCAGTTCGTTGAGGTGCGGTGCTCTGAAATTGACGACGATGAGGATGATTGATTCCAAGCATCGCCGTCTCCATCTTTCTTTCAAGAACCTGGTGTTGCAGGCATCAATTTTGTCGCCGTCTCCACCACCATTACAGCCACCCAACGGCGGATTCATGGTTGGGCCACACTAGGCCCGGGCCCAACCCTTTTCTTGGTAGAGAAGTTGAATACTTTATAATTATTATTAATATTATTTTGGTAGAATACGTTATAATTTATGGCCCTCTCAAGTCTCATCTCTTTAGAGCATCCAAATTGGTATTGCATTCTCAATTGCAAAATGACATGGTATAGGTGTTTGCAATTGCTAAACCAATTGCATTGATGTGGCTACCAATTGTATATTTGCAAGCTTGCAAACAAATGCAATTCCATATGCAAGTAAAAAAAGCGTAAAAAATGGGGATTTGTTATTTTATATTATTTTCTTTTCTCTTTAACTTAATTTTCTATAATTCAAATTTAATATTTAATTACATTTGCAATTGCAAGTTAATTGCATTGATGTAGGTGAATGAAATGAATGTGATGTGGATTGCAAAAAATTTAAGTTGACAATAATAAACACAAATATAATTTCTTTTGCAATTGAATTGATGGAGATAAGTGCCCAACCCTCTCTGTGTCCCCACCCAAAATCCAATTCCAATTCCAATTCCAATTGTTCCATGTTCCTCTTTAAGCTGCGGCCAAAAAGGTAAAAACCCAAAAGTCAATTCCCTTATCCGCCAGTCCCTCGCCGCTTCAGCGCTACTTCACTTCAGAATAGAAGACCAGCAGGTAGCAGCCAGCAAGCCAACTCCCAGCCTCGCCGCTGTCGTTTATTCTGCAGTTCTCCGAGGCTTTGACGCGCATCGGCGGAGGGAAATGTAGCTGCTGCTTACGTTTTCGTCAGACCTAATTTTGGTGCAATTTACTTTTCAGTGATTAGAGTGGACATTGTGTTTTTGGTCGGCAAAATCTGTTTTAGGATTGGGAATATCGAGTTGCTTTTCTTTTACTAGTTAGCTCATTTCTGCTTATTAAATTTTTAGGTTGGAGAATTAGAGGTCCAGCTTTTCTTATATATAGTCCCCTTCCGCATCTGTATTCAATTCTAATTAGAAACTAATTTTTGATTGCATTGTGTATGACTAATTTATTATTCAGATTTAAAGAAATTATACCATTATATTTTCTCAACCACCAAATAAAAAGGTTAGGACTTTTTCAGTAATGAAATATATGAAAACTGATTTGCGCAACAAATTGAGCGATGAATTTCTAACTGTTTGCTTAACTATTTTCGTTGAGAGAGTATAAAGTTATTGGTATGGATTGACGACTCTATTATTGATGAATTTTCTAAATTACAAGACCATCGTGTATAATTAACATTATAATGAAAATTATAATTATTATATATATTTTTGTTTACGGTATCTAATTTTCTATTCAAATGCGACCCAGTGCTTTACTTAATTCTGGATCTTCCCCTGCAACCACCACATCGGTCGATTTCGTTTATGTTTGCTCTGGGATTCTGATGTGGAGATACATGGGGTTGCATTAGGCAGCATCTGTTCCAGGCTGAGTTGGCCACTCCCCTAGATCTAGATTTCCACATCTCCTCAACCAATTGTTGGGTTAATACCTTAGTTTGGCCCGAAGTTTCGTGTAAGTGACAATTGTGGCCCGATTTTTTCAATAAGACATTTATGGCCTACTTTTCAAATTATTGGACAAATTTGGCCTATGAAGCGGTTTGACCGTTAGAATTGACGGTCAATCATTTTCTCCATCAATGACTCAGCACTGGCTGCTGACTAGACTAGTCCATAATCCATATCATTTAAAAATTAAAAAAAAACAAAAAAAAATGAAAAGGGAAGTCGAATGGTCCACCACAAGCAAACCTTTCCCATTCTTTATCCCCTTTCTTCCTCCTCTGTTAGCAACTATCCCAGGGAGGAGATTGTGAGAGACGGTGATAATTTGGAGATTGATGAGGATGAAAGCCGGAGCTCGTCGGAGAGAAAGTTGTACAGGAGATAAACGGCACGAAGGAGCGGGCAGCGGGGGAGAGAGAGGAAGGGATGGAGCCATTGAAGTTGTTGGAGAGGAGGCCGAGGCGGCGGAGCTGGGCGAGTGGCTGGAAGAAGAGCAAATGATGTCGCGGCAGTCGCAAGGGGCGAGTGGGATGGAAGGGTTCCAGCCGTCCATGGCACCAAGTGGGTCGTGGAGGGCAAGCTTGAAGGCGGTCAAGGCTTGGAACTCGGCGGCGGGGACGACGACGGTGGTGGCGACTACGAGGAGGAGAAGGGGAGGATAAAGTAGAGGCGGCGGAAAAAAATGAAATTAGGGTTTGGATGGGCTTTGGGGATTTTGGATAATAAGAGGGCTTCAATTTTATATCTTATTTTTATTTTAACCGAATAACAAAATTAAAATAATATTATTTAATGATGTGGCAAGCCACATCAGCTACTTTTTGATGAGTCACTAACGGAATAGTGTTTGACCGTCAATATTAACGGTCAAAGAAAATTTTGTGCCAAATTTGTCCAATAGTTTGAAAAGTAGGCCATAAATGTCTTATTAGAAAAGTCGGGCCACAATTGTCACTTACGCCAAACTTCGGACCAAACTAGGGGATTAACCCTTGTTTTTTTATAGAGAAAAATAGGACATGATCATCACAGTAACCCTAGCATCAGTTACCATCAGTAACTGCGTCATTCCCCGTCCATCGCATTTTCTTGGGAACCATCAGATCATACAAATTAAAATACAAGGGGGACAAAATAGTAATCCTTCAGCTCTTACAATTTGAAAAGCAGACGTGACATTAAACCGTCCCGCCTTCTCTCCTTCTCACACCTCCAAATAAAAATCACATTTCACGCGATGATTCCTGCTCCAACTATTCTTTTTCGCTCTACTTTCTAACTCTCGATTCGACCTACCGGTCCTCACTTCTCTCACCAAATCGCACAAAAAACTTCAGAAAACACATAAGAAACTTCAATCTCGAAGGATTTTCGCAAGGTTTTCGAAGAATCATTCAACGATCCACTATTCTCCCTTGTTCAACGGAAAAAGAAGGGCTTCCAACTTCAACGAGGCTACGCTTCAAACACCGTTATCACACACAAAAATCAAGGTAAAACCTCATTTTTTTCTTCAAACCCTTTCCACAGAAAAATACAAACAGTTTTTCCGTCACTCTTCATATGAAAATTGAAGTAGACTCGCCACAATACCAATATTTACAATACAGTGATGAACTTGTGTTAAACCATTACCATATGGTATTAAGATTTAGAATGCGGTAAAACAAAACTTGTACTGTGCTATGTTATATATATTGCATGTTATTACCATATGGTAAGATGTGGTAAGCTATGGTTTGATGTTATAAAATGGAGTAAACCATAAGTCTTGTTGTGTTTTGGTTTATTACCATATGCTAAGATGTGATAATCTATGGTTTGATGTTATAAAATGAAGAAAACCATAAGTCATATTGTTTGGTTTAATACCATATGGTACGATTTGGTAAGTTTGTGGTTTGATATTGTAGAATGGAGTAAACCATAAATCCTGTTGTGTTTTGGTTTATTACCATATAGTAAGATGTCATAATCTATGGTTTGATGTTATAAAATGGAGTAAACCATAAGTCCTGTTGTGTTTTGGTTTAATACCATATGGTACAATGTGGTAAGCTATGGTTTGATGTTATAGAATGTAGTAAACCATAAGTCCTGTTGTGTTTTGATTTATTACCATATGGTAAGATGTGATAATCTATGGTTTGATGTTATAAAATGGAGTAAACCATACCACATGGTATAACTCACAGAACTGAGTACATAAACCATTAGATCAATTAAATTAATTTCCATTTATGATACCATATGGTATATTGTGTTAAAAAGCTTCTTAATAGACTATTCTTGTTTTCTACATTTAGGTACGCTATGTTGAAACAAAGAAAAAGTTTTCGCACAAGGTGAAGCCCGACGAGAGTAGCTTCAATTGTAAGGACATTCACAGATGAACAGAAAGAAAGACATGACAAATTAGGCCTTGCAGGTTTAACATCAATTCAGCATACAAACATAAACACGAATGTTTCATTGTTCGGAATGAACAAATACAACCCAAACACAGAATCGTTCAAGCTACTTGACGGGACCTCGATGAAAATATTAGCAGTCGATTTTCATAGAGTATATGGCGTGTCATTGGGGAAAAGGGAATTTGTACCTCCCAAAATTTCTTGGGACGAAGGGGCAGATTATGGAATAGAAACCCTACTGGAAGTAGAGCGGACATGACCAACTCTGACTAAACCCGAATGGACCACAATAAAAGTCCCAATTAAGGCCCAAGTATAAACCTTAACTGGGTGCAGTACAGGACAAATATGTTTAAATATCGACCCAAGGCGATTCATGTACCCCTACTTTAATTGCTTGAAGCGTTGTCTAGCGGTTGGTTTTTTATGAAAACAACAATCTATAGCTAAAGCGGTTGCAAAGGTAAAAGGATTTGACACTAATGGAGAAGGCTCCACCTGGGTGTTGCTCCCATTACGACTTGTTGGATTGAATATTCGTGTGTATTGAGGGGGTTGTAAACCGTAGGGAAATGCAACAAATAGCCAATGCCACTCTCTTAGCCTCTAGGTCGAGGGAAGGGGATGTGATCCAAGCCACCGACATGACTCTCTAGACCTATTTACTAAGGGTTGGTTAAGCTTCACCCTCGAATCGGAGTTCGGAAGACCACCCACAACCAAACCCTAAGTGCTTATACGAAATAAGAGGTTTGCCCTACATTAACCTAGATAGGATACAATGAACCGCCTAAGAAAACCCAGCATTCAAGCCTCTTTCAAAGAAAGGAAGGGGGTTTTCTCTCTACCTAGACTAGAATGGCAATTAGATTGAGAAGCTTTCAAACAACACAACATTCATGAATAATACCTCCACATTCACAATAAACACAACCACACACAAATCATTCAATCTATACAAGCATTCACATAATTGTAGCTAGGGTTTACAAACACCCAAGTGAAAGAAGGGACTACTCCATTCTAGCATAACGGAAAACACAAGAGAGAAGAAGAAAAACCATCAAAGAGATGTTAGTCTTGCTCCTTGTGTAGAAGAGATCCTTCTTTGGAGGGAGGAATTCCCAATTCCTTGCTTGAAGATGAAACCCTAACTTCTCCTCTTCTTTGGTTTGTCACTTTCTCACTCTAGAAATATGAAGAAGAAGAATTTTCTCACACTAGGTCTCTGTCTTTTCCCTTCAGCTCAACCTCCTTTATATACCCAGATTGGGCTCATTTCACAGTCATAGTTCACGGTCGTGAACTGAAAGCCCGGATAGCAAACTGAAGTCGAAACGCGCCGCATCACTAATCCTAGATAGCGAACTGACTTGTGTCGAGTGAAAGCTGTTTGTGCTCTGGATGCCTGGCTGTTCAAGGGTAGAGCCTCCAGTTCACGGTCTTAGTGACCGTGAACGCACGGCCCAAACCGTGATCAGCTGTTGTTTCCACCATTTGACTTGATGCCCTTTCGTCCAACTTTCGACTACGGGGTTGGTTCCACCTGCCAAAGTCTGAAAAACACCAAAACAAGTCAAACCCCAACGAGAAACCAAACCTCCCAGATTAAAAATGCTTCAAACGACTAAGCAAACCGGAGGAAAAAAGTGTACAAATGAGCCCGAATAAAACTCCAAGGTTAAAGCTCAGTCAGATAGAAAAAGATCCTCCTAAACATACAACCAGTACGAGATGGTTACAATTATTCTTTCTGCTGGTCACAGGAGGATAGTTGTGTCCAACTTCAACCCCTACTATTGAACTCAACATGCTTGAGTACTTGAAGACTGAAGAACTCAAATATTTCACTAGCTACAACTGGTGCTAAAACTTCTTCAATCACATGAATAAAAAGGCGAGAACTTTGTCAGTAATGAAGTATGTGAAAACTGATTTGCGCAACAAATTGAGCGATGAATTTCTAGCTGATTGCTTAACTATTTTCTTTGAGAGAGAGTATATTGTTATTGGTATGGACGGTGACTCTATTATTGGTTAATTTTCTAAATTATAAGACCATTGTGTACAATTAACATTATAATGAAAATTATAATTATAATTATTATATATTTTTGTTTATGGTATCAAATTTTCTATTCAAATGCGACCCAGTGCTTTCCTTAATCCTGGATCTGCCGCTGCAACCACCACAGCGGTCGATTTCGTTTCTCTTTGCTCTGGGATTCTGATGAGGAGATACATGGGGTTGCATTCGGCACCATCTCTTCCAGGCTGGCCACTCCGCTAGATCTTAATTTCCATATCTCCTCAACCAGTTGTATTTTATAGAGAAAATGGGACCAGATCACCACAGTAACCCTAGCATAAGTTACCATCAGTAACTGCGCCATTCCCCGTCCATCGCATTTTCTTGAGAACCGTCGGATCATACAAATTAAAATACACGGGGGCAAAATAGTAATCCTTCAGCTATGAGAATTTCAAAAGCAGACGTGACATTAAACCGTCCCGCCTTCTCTCATTCTCACACCTCCGAATAAATATTACCCTTCACCCGACGGTTCCCGCTCCAACTGTTCTTTTTCGCTCTGCTTTCTAACTCTCGTTTCTCGCTCCCGATCCTCACTTCTCTCACCAAATGGTACCAAAAAATTCAGAAAACACAGAAGAAACTTCAAACTCGAAGGATTTTTGCAAGATTTTCGAAGAATCGTTCAACGATCCAATGTTCTCCCTTCTTCGTCGAAAAAATAAGGGCTTCCAACTTCAAAGAGGCTACGCTTCAAACATCGTTATCACACAAAAAAATCAAGGTAAAACCTCGTTTTTTTCTTCAAAACCCCTCCACAGAATAATACACACAATATTTCCCTCACTCTTCATGTAAAAATTGAAGTAGACTCGCTACAACACCAATCGTTACCATACAGTGGTGAACTAGTGTTGAATTGTTACCATATGATAATAAGATTTATAATGCGGTAAAACAAACACTTGTACTGTGTTATGTTATATATTGCATGTTGTTACCATATGGTACGATGTGTTAAGCTATGGTTTGATGTTATAAAATGGAGTAAACCATAAGTCCTGTTATACTTTGGTTTATTACCATATGGTAAGATGTGATAATATATGGTTTGATGTTATAAAATGGAGGAAATCATAAGTCCTGTTGTGTTTTGGTTTAATACCATATGGAACGATGTGGTAAGATATGGTTTGATATTATAGAATGGAGTAAACCATTAATCTTGTTGTGTTTTGGTTTATTACCATATAGTAAGATGTGATAATCTATGGTTTGATGTTATAAAATGGAGGAAACCACAAGTCCTATTGTGTTTTGGTTTAATACCATATGGTACGATGTGATAAGCTATGGTGTGATGTTATAAAATGGAGAAAACCATAGTCCTGTTGTGTTTTGGTTTATTACCATATGGTAAGATGTGATAATCTATGGTTTGATGTTATGAAATGGAGTAAACCATACGTCATGTTGTGATGTGGTTTATATTACCTTATTGTATAATTTGGTATGGTAGGATACCACATGGTATAACTCACAGTACTATTGTACATAAACCACCATATCAGTTAAATTTAATTTCCAATTTGCTACCATATGGTATATTATGGGAAAAAGCTTCCTAATAGACTATTCTTGTTTTCTACATTCAGGTACGCTATGTTGAAACAAAGAAAAAGTTTTCGTACAAGGTGCAGCCCGACCATAGTAGCTTCAATTGTAAGGACATTCATAGATAACAAAAGAAAGGCTTCACAAATTAGGCCTAATAGGCTTAACATCAATCCAACAGACAAAGAGAAACACAAATTCTTCATTGTTCGCAATGAACAAATACAACCCAAACACAGAATCGTTCAAGCTACCTGACAAGACCTTGATGAAAATATTAGCAATCGATTTTCATAGAGTATATGGTCTGCCAATGGGGAAAATGGAAGTTGTACCTCCTAAAATTTCTTGGGGCATATTATGGGATAGAAACCCTACTGGAAGTAGACGGGACAGGACCAACTCCAAGGGTTAAGCTCAGTCAGATAGAAAAAGATCTTCCTAAACGTACAACCAGTATGAGATGGTTACAATTATTCTTTCTGCTGGTCACTGGAGGATTGTTGTGTCCAAGTTCAACCCCTACTACTGAACTCAACATGCTTGAGTACTTGAAGACTCGAGAACTCAAACATTTCACTAGCTACAACTGGTGCAAATACTTCTTCAACCACATGAATGAAGGATTGAAATCATCAAAACCTTTATGTCAGTGTAGATCTTCACTTCCTTACAGTAAGTTTCCATTCCCTCAGCCATTTCCATCTTATTACTCCTATATTTTGTATACAAATGGTAGTCTTTGAAAAACTAATACAACTATCTGCATTACCAACTACTACAAAAAGGTATGCTTCATTTACAAACTGGATGAAATGACCTTCTTCACCCAGCTTCGACCCCAACAGTAAGCTATATGATGATCACACTGTGCAAAGGAACTTTGAGAACTTCAAAAGCCACTACGATGGAGAAGAGCTGACCTAGCTAGCAAAGCTTGCCAACAATGTTGTTGATGAG